TAAGTTGAGCAAAAACCTTAGGATGTAAGAAATCCTGAGGTTAAGGCACTATGCTATTTGAGAAGGCCCTCAAATTTTGGCCAATTGCCACTTTGGTCAACTTAAAGCTGGATGCAATATATTTTGAACCCATTTGTTGCTTGGGACATTTTGAGGAGGCACAAAAGTCCTGTTTTGAGCACTTTGGGGGGTCTCATATGGTAATAGAGGCATTCTATGTCTGGACCCTGTTAATCTTAGTGATCACCTAATTAGTAGTCACCTAATAATGCTTCTTCATCTCATATTGCTTGAAGGCTTTGGTTATCGCTTTGTTGAAGATGACGCTGCATTTTAGGCAGAGCATAACCTTACTATCTACCTCTTTCTTTCGTGTTAGAAACTTCAACAATGCATCTCTAACCTTTGGGAAATTTTCAGTATTTTCCTTCTCAAAATTCTCCAGGGTCACGTCTGGATCCCCTTTAACACCCTCTTTTTCATTTAGTTGATAAATTGATAAATTAATTGGTATTATATATTGTTAGAATGTATTAGAATGAATTATAGGTGTTTTAGTGGAAGTTTAGTGCAAGGGATCTCGCTCAAGCAAGACTGAGCGCCTAGAACCACATGTTTTCAGGGAAATCTCGCTCAAGCGAGATGATTCCCACTCAAGCGAGATAGAATAAATTCAGCTCAACTGTCACCTTGCCCAGCCGAGAGGTCATCTTACTCAGGCGAGCAGTGATATCGCTCAAGCGAACTGAGCCCCTCAAGCAAGGACTTACAGGAAAAATGTCCAACTCTCTAGACGTTATCTCGTTCAGGCGAACATGACCTTACTTAAGCGAGAATATCAAAAAATGCTTGGCAAGACCACTATTTGGTGTTCTCGAGCTATTCCTCGCTCAGACGAGAATCGCGTCACTCAAGCAAGGATTTTGTCGCTCAAGTGAAAACGCGTGGGCTGAGGGTATGTTATTTATGAGTAATAGCTGAGAATATGCATGTTTGGTTGTTTGACTTGAATGGTTGTATTGTGTTCATATGAAATACATAATGAGTACTCAATGTGAAGTGTTATGGAAATATGCTGAATGAGTATGGTGTAATTATATGAAGTGTATGTATATGATATGTTATGATGAAGTATAACATTTATTAAGTTGAGATGTATGAACTATATGCATATAAGCATTTTGTGGCTGTGATAAAATGTGATGTTGGTTTGAAAGACTTAATGATTGAAACTTTTTTCTAATGGTATGAGTGATGTGGAAGAATGAAGGGATTCTCAAGATAAGTATAAGTGTCAGATATGGAATGGATCTAGGGTAAATAGTTACAGAGATACACTAGAAGTATAGAGTCTAGAAACAACAGAAAATCTGGAGGAAACGTAGGATGTTTTGCGACATTCGCTTATATGTATACACTCTTTCTGAGAGCGAATGAGTCACATGGCCTCACACTCATTTCCTAACTAAACTCTTGATTATTGTATATGTTGCATCCATGTGCATAGGCTAACTAGCAACTATTTAACAAATTGAGTAAGACCTTAAGAAATGCTGGAGGCATCATTATCTGTGATTACAGTGCACTAGGAGTGTGTATTTGAAGGAAGAAACTGAATAAATTATAACAAATTGTTGTTTTGTAAATATGTAATTATGATCTATGAATTGGCTATTGAAATAATTATGTTATCTTTATGTCATGTTATGATTTCATGTGATATGTAGATTTGTAAAATGATAGAATAGACGCTCATCCTTACTAAAATTTTCAGGAAAACAGGATGACGACACCTCAGAAAAGAATTAGGCTGATAGATAGCTTTGTACAATATAGACTTAATTATGTATTTAATGAGTACCAGAAGACATGTCATTTAAGTTGGCTATACATGTTAATGACATACCTAGTAATATTATTATTTTGGACATGGAATTCTATTATAGCGTTCTTTTTTATTATATATAGGACCCCTGCAGCCATAACTTATTTATTATATATAGGACCCCTGCGGCCATAACTTATTTATGTATATACCACGATCATGACCATCTCAGAAGGCCAAGCCGAGTTACCTTTGAACAAGTATCAGGAGTTAAGGTTGCGGTTGATTCGGGTGACCTCTATCTAGGATCAGACGATGAACTAGATTATGAGGATTTAAAGGAGATATAGAGATGGCATAAGGATAACTAGCACCGAGTCCTCAGTGTTGGGATATTTTTGAAATTGATCTGGGACTTTATTATTTTGGTTGTGTAATTATTATTGGCATTTTTGACTTCTGCTCGAATTTCAGTCTTCCTTGCTTAATAGCATTCTGAATCAAATCCCTGAAATAAACACAATTGTTAGTCCAATGACCATAAACATGGTGAAATTTACAATATTTTTTTACCCTTTCTTTGTTCTAAAGTAGGGATCTTATGATCATCAGACAACACAATTTGACCATCCTTCAACAAAATATAAAAAATGTGATTGGCTTTAGTAACATTGAATGCATAACTTTTATTAGGCTGAAATTTATCTTTATTCTTAAATGGTTTTAGGGACCGGTAAACATAAGGGGGTCTTGGTTTTAAATCAACTACATTAACTTCATTTATCCCTACATTGACATCCTCTTCTTCGAGGTTGATTTCACTATCCAATTCTCCTCTAACTAACCTAACGTAGGCTACTTTGTCTTTTCGAGGCAATTTCTCAATTTTTCTAGGAGAATATTTCTCATCTTTGAGCTGCTCAATTTGTAACGCTCCAAGCTTTGTAATTTATTGATTATTAATATAAATATATAGATTACCATTAAATATGCATTTGACTTTTGTGAATATATATATGTGTGTGTGTATAAGTATAATTGTGGATATTGATTGTATATTGATAGCTAGCTGAGTGTGTTTGAAATTGATTGAAAATAGGTTAAGAGTGTATTATAGGGCATTATCGCTGTAGCGAGTGTATTCTCGATATAGTAAGAAGGTCCTGGGCATAGGACGTGCCTCTATTGCGCTCTCATTGTAGTGAAAGGGCAACAGAGGGAAGTGCATTTCTATGTGCAATCTCACTGTAGCGAGAGGATTTTGCTATAGTGAAATTCTGCAGAAATCAGAATACAGATTCATAAAAATAAGCAAAACATACAAGGTGATATTTTTTACTCAATCACCAATCATGAAGATGAAACATTGTGGAGATAAAAATGGACTCAAAACAGCCCCAAAATTATGGTTTTACATTTCTTACAACCATCCGTAGGGAGCTCCCAAAGTAGGACTCCATTCCAAACCTATAACACTACTGAAACATGGAAAACGTACTTCTCCTATACCTTATGGTGTTGTGCACAAAAATAAGAGGGGATGGAGAGGAGAATGAGACTTCAAGATGCTGGTCCCCAAGCTTTAAATGACACCTCTTCAACCCAGGAAAACACCTTCCTCCAACGTCCAACAAGAATGTCCAAGAAATGCTCCAAAAATAGTTTTCTCTTACTCTCACTCACAAAATGCACTCAATCTAAAGTGGAGCTTAGGAGAGGGCTAGAATGGGGAGAATGAGGAAGAGAGGGAGGTGGTTGAAATGGTGAACAAAGAGGAAGCAACAGGCAGCCAATGGAGGAGCAAGGAAATTTTTTTGGCAAGAGGAATGAAAGGACTTAGGTGCTCACGGTTTTGAGAGGAAGAAGTGTGAGAAAATGAAACTTTGGATGACCATATATGGGAAGAGAAACTTTGCTCAAAGAGGAGAGAGAATGATGAAAAAATGCATTGTTTGTGTTTTAGTGAAAAAAGGCAAAGATCCAAGGGTCAAGATTAATCCTCCCCAATGGTTGAGATTCAAAACGTAAGTCAAAAGCTTTAAGGGAACTTGTAGAGATAAAACAAGCAAGATCCAATCCTTACAAGGGATGTCAATAGTCCAAAATTAAGAAGGATGAAAGAAAAAGAGATAACGTGACTAATTGTCATAAGGAATGCAGCTACTAATTACACCAGTCATCTCTCTTCGATCTCTCGGCCCATGCCTTGACATTTTGAAACACACATGGATTTATCTTGATAATTTTGTCTATTAGTATAACCATGTATTGTACTAATTTGTAAAATTAATGAAATAAATTCCAAAACTTTAAATTTCTCCCAACTAAAATTTTATAAATCCATTTTTGATTTCTAAAACACTTTACCAATTAAATAAATTAAACAACACTAATTCTTGTTTGTCACACTACATGATTTACCCAACAAATACCAGAACGATTACCGAACTGTCCCAAATTAAGTCCGAATTGGCTCAAAGTAATTTCAAACAATTATTATGCATATAAATTATCGTTACAAACAATTCTCTAAGCTAAATAATTTTTCTTCCAAGTGTAATCGCTGAATTTACACTGATCAAGGCCTCGCGCGAACATGTTTAGAAAGAGATGGTGTTACATTCTTATTTTAAAAAAAAAAAAAAACATTTGAATGATGTTTAAATAAATATTATGTTCATATATAAACACGTTCGTTGTTCCATTCCGTTAAAAAATAGGAATAGGCATAATTTGACATGCCTTTTGCATATCTTATTACTAGTCTATTAGGATTTATCTTTGTGCCAAAGAGCAATGGTATATCATTTGGACTTATTTGCTTGTCGTTACTGCTTAAACTCAATTTATGGAGAAGCTCATCTTTTGTTGCCATTGGTTTAACTATGTGGCATGCTATCTGACTAGTTTCAATGATCATATTCCTAACATTTTTTGTTTTTACAATTCTCAAATTTGATCTCCCAAAACCTATTCGATGTACAAACCTTTTGCTATCATATACTAATTAAAACAGTTTTTTCTCTCATTATATATACACTTGTCATAATTTAATCTTAATATTTAATATTCTATTTTCATGTTTCATTCAATTATTTTTGTTTCTGTAAAAACTTCATAAAAAAACATTTTATTTATTTACCCTTACAATGCACAGATTTATACCTAGTTTGTCATAAATGTACTATATTGCATAACTTTATCAATAGATGATGATAATCACATTTTACAAAGAAATACATGAGATTATATATTTCCCCACCCATATCCCCTTGCGAGCACGCCGAAAATTTACATACTTTCGTCTAAACCATGTTAGAAAGTCACAAAAAGTATCTCTAGGTGGATTCAAAGAAGTCTTACTCTATTGCCTACTATTCACTTTCTCTTTCTAACTGTATCATCCTCATCTCCCTCATTCACACATTCAATAAAAGCATAACTTAGAAGTCGGATTGATCAAGTTTAGCCAATTCAATAAGTTCAGCAACATCATCAAGTGAATCGTGAAGGTCTCCACCAATGGCCCACAACTTTGTCTACCCCATTAGAATTCATTTTGTTTCTCATCAAGGAATGAATATAGGAGTATTAAATTCAACTCCTCCCACATGAAGAACAAGGTCGTACAAGGATCTTTACAGCAAGGTTTTGATGTTAAGGGCTAGAAGACCCGTCTATCTTCAATAGAACCAAAGGAGACAAAGTCACCAACACAAGGCGAGAAATTAGAGAAATCAAAATAGAATTTTTTTTCCTTTCCTCAATGCTTGGAGTATATCTTTGAACATTTGTTCCTTTTTCTAGAAACTTCATCTTGATGATGGGGAACCATAATTCGAGATTCTTTAACTCACTCTTCACTCTATAATACCTATAAATCATTAAGAAAAGTTTAGTTATATTGTGAATTTTATTTTCCAAAAACACCTACTAAAATAAAAGAGAAAAATGCATTGGATTCTGTCATGAATTATTAGTATTGATCGCTGTTTTCTACGATATTATAGTAAAATCTAAGCTGAATAAGATTAAAGCAGCTAGATTATTTCGTTCCTTATTTTTCTCCTAATTTGCAGTAGATTGGTTTCCTACTCTAAACCAATTATGCCTATAAATTAGCGCATGTATCATTCTAAGACACAAAAGACAAATAAAAAACTCATTGTTCCCTTACATTTTTTACTCTCTATTCTCTTCCATGGTATCAGAGCTCTCTGCTCTAAACCTTGCCATCTCCAACAGTGACAGGTTTTGATAGCATGCCACTGAGCTTCACGAGGTTGAGAAAGAAACTGGTGCTTATTTACATTATAAGAAAATTTGGCCTTGTGAACATAGCATATTATAAGGTCCTGACAAATGAAAATATAGGTAGGGATCAGAAAATATTTAGAAGATCCATGCTTAGAAAGCTTACCAAGATGGTAACAACTATATTTACACAAAAATCAAGATGGAGCCATTGGAATTGTTTGACTTCAACAACAACAACAACAATAACCAAACCTTATTCTCTAAGGTAAGGACAACTACATGGATCACAGGACACCATTGAACTCAGTCAAAAATCAAATTCTCTAGGATATTATTTACCATAAGTGTTTCACTTTGATACAAGAAAATAAACAAACCTTCTCAATCACTTTCGTGTATATGCACATTAAAAATATTGTAGTACGTGTTAGTTGATAAGCGAAAAGGAGACACAATAATACTGTTATAATATAAATAAGAATATAGAGATGGTGACCAAAAAGAAAAAATGAAGGGTCAAATTTGCTAGAGCAAAAGCCAAGGTGCGAACATAAATGCTAGCGACATATACAAGGCTTAAGGGGGCTTGTTTAAGACAATACACAGCATGCTGAATTTCACAAAATAGGCTCTTAAATGAGACTTTGAAACTTGGAGGCTAAGTGTTACACACTTCCTCATCAAGAAATCCATTAGAGGCAGAGTTAAGATTTTGAGCAGTTCCCTTTGACTGTCTGGGAGTAGCCATTGTTTTTGTTTCAGACATTCAAACTTCAATCTATATTTCCAGTCAAGTTCTCGACAGAACAGAGTGGTCTCACCAGATAAAGCCTTAATACAGAGGTCTTGTTGGAAATGAAGATGACGAGAACTTGACTGGAAATAGTGAATAGCACTGAAAAACAGCCCTTGACATGGATGGGCTATGTAGGAAATGAATCAATCTCTCCAGGGATGAAGAAGACAACCAAAACTTGGCTGAAAATGGTGACCCACACTCGATTTTGGCCAGAAAAGGATGTAAACCATTGTGAAGCTTGCTGGACGAAGCAGAAGTTGCTGAAGATGGTTAATGGGAGCGCCTAGGGTTCAAGCATGCCAAGTTTGAATGATACGACATACAGAAAACAACAATGCAAAAGGGGGGAAAATCCCAAGATTGCCCCCTTTAAAAGCCTTCTAACATTAAGAAAACAAGTAAAATTGACAAAATCACAGAGGGAGCACCTACAGAAAAAGAAGATGGTGAATGGGAGCACCAAGTTCACAAGGCAACATACTTGTAAGGAATTCATTAAATTCTTATACGAACATACTCTAACACAAGGAAATAAAAAGCTAATTGCAGAAAAAATTACCTGAGCCTGCATCAGAAAAATGAAGAATGCCACCCACAACCACCACCACTTGTCCCCCAATCCACTCTACCATTATAAGCACTTCCATCCCTTCCACCAAACTGATGACGACTACCACCACATCTACGCTGATTATCACATCGAGGCTTTGCTTTTTCAACAGACAAGGGATAACCTCCCAGCTCAGTTTGATCAAGATGTAGAGCTTTCTTCACACTGTCAACATCCTTGAAGTCCAAGTGAGCAAACCTGCAAATTTTGCAATTTGACATTGAAATTTGGAATTGAATGCACACTAATGCTTGACATGTTTCAGAGTTTGCCAGCATTCTATAGTCATTTATTAATCAAGGATTATACAAGCTGGTCTATTTTGCGGCTCAATGGGAGAGAATCTTAACCAGGAGGGGATCACTATTAATGGAGATATTTTGGTACTTTTGCCTCAAGCCCCTATGGCCTGGTCTCTTGCTTGAAGAGGAGTTCTATGCACAGGGCACAAAATCAGGGAGAAAGAGCAAGGGGGCATTCGACAGAGGTAGTTCTAGCGGTAGAAACCAAATAGATTAAAAAGGAAAGGTAAAAATGAAAACAGAAAATAAATAAATCCCACATTATCCATGTAAAGATTAATACATTTCTCCACTTAATGTCAGAAAAGGAATGTAATCGGATCTACCCCAGACCATGCTTTTTTGTTTCTAAAAGGCAAGACCACAAGAATTACGTGAAGTGTGAACTACGCAAATTTATCCAGTTGAGGCATGACATTGAGAAACAATAATTTCTGCCAGGCAGTCTACTTAGAAAGCAAGCAAATAAACCCACTTGTACTAGTAGTTTGATTTAATTCTAGTTAGTTGTGCTTGATTGTTGACCACCAGAAAGTGTGGAACATAAGCTGTTTAGAGATCCCTGTACAATCACTAGGGAAGGCAAGGCTTGGGATATATAAGAAGGGTAAAATAATGATAAGAATAAAAGAAAATAACATGGCATTGGCACTAAAAAGCAGAAAACAAGGATTATTCATTAGCTTAAGGGACAAGTACAACTGATACAAGCAGAAATGATATAAAAATCAATCTGCATTTAGGAGCTCCCGGTACAGTCTGGTACCTTTCATATTTTCTACTAATCCCTACCCCTCAACTTCAGCAAGGGGAATGTATGGGAGAAGGCAAAATAGAGAAATTATAAAAGGATGAATACAAAAGGAAAATAATGTAGAAATAATTTAAATGTATATAACAGCAAATTCCCCAATTACCACTCAATACAGTGTGAAGCATAAGTTCCAACGCAATTTAGAAAAGGAAATATGAAAATGGCACAAAAAATTTGGAACATGATTTCAGGTAAAGTTAAATATATCATCTGAAAAGCACATAGTCATCCTCTAATTGCAAAACGACCCAGGATTCTTAGTCTCAACTAACAATATCACAGACTACTGAATGATCTGTGAAAAATGCACAGGAACAATCTCTACAATAGTCAGATATGCAAACTGACATACTGATTTAGTAAACTTCTGACATTCTTCTGACAAGCCCATAAGTAAGGCGAGATGAACATGAAAAGGCTCATAGGTAAATGGCGTGGCATGTCAAAACATTCTATAGCACATTATAACCTAACATATGGCGGAACAAGAAACACACCCCTTAGCATCCCCGGAATTATGAAATTTTGGAATTGATATCCTTGCAATGTCTCCACAAGACCTGAAATGCTCTTCCAGGCTAGCTTTTATCTGAAAGAACAAAGAAGGCATTAAATAAGATAGAAACAATAATTAAACCAAGTAAAGATACAATAGACAGAGATTCCTGCAATCATGTACAAGAACTAGGGTAACAAATTAAAATGATAGAGAGAGATTACCTTCTCTTCTGCAAGGGATCTATCAAAACCCTTAACAAATACTGTTAGCGACTGAATTCTTTCACTCTTCTGGAATGAGTTGTTCCTGATGATAAAATCATTAACAAGGAAACAGCAAAGGAAAGATGTGGGCATAAAGCACGATATTCAAATGAACCAATGCAACATACTAAAGAATTTTGTATGTGCTGTAAAAAATGCATTTTTAATTTAAAAAACATGTTTGAAAATTTGATAATGTTGAAAAAAAAACAAAAGCCTAAAAAGCAAACTGTTTGTATGCTTTTCTCATTAGATGGAAAATTATTTAGGAAAAAAAAATTGGAAAGTGTCATTTTTTCCAAAACATATAATTAAAAAGAGTATATACACAAAAAGACACAGCAAACCATGCAAATGAACAGAAAAAACAAAAATGTCCTCCAATTCAAAAGGAACATGTTTATAAGAAATTTACATTGGCACAATTAGGCAGGAAAATATGTCACCAGACAGTGAAAGGAGGCATGCTCTTGCACAGTGTATATCTGTAGATTACCTACTATTGTGGGTATATTCACCCTTTTCTCGAGCCAATTCAACTCTGATGGGACGTCTTAACAATTCTGTGTTATCCAACTCAAGAGCCTACAATTTAAAAGAAAATTGATTCTCAGCTCAATGCCTTCACACAGAAAAGGGGTCCAAGATACATAAGCGCACAAATGAAGAATCCTAGCACTACACATGTAAGAGAGCCTAGAAATATAAATGCCAACCCTCCATCAATACTAATTGCCAGACATGGAGCCAAATGATGCACATAGTAAACAGCACTAGTGAGATAAGACTTGGCAGTTCTTGTATTATGCACTGACATAAGATGGTACAAATCACCAGATTAGCAAGTAACATGAAAGCTGCATCATATGAAGTGGTTAGAACAAAATTCCATTGCATGAGTTAAAGAAGTTCAGATTAACTTACTTAGCTGACAACACTTGTTAATTCCACACCATCAAAATGCAATACATAATAATACAAGCAAAACAAAAAAAAATGTTTGCAAGTCATGTCCATGAAAGATTTTGAACAAGATCAAGCCTATCATACAACTTGGATCTTTACTATCTAGAGGTACAATACATTCTACAGACAAGGCTATGTTGTTCTTGAAGACAATCATGAACTGATACCATGACCACCAAAATTGTAGTCGCTATTGCAACAATAAAGCCTTAACCAAAGTACAAGGTAGATAATTGCATCAGGAATCAAATTTAATAAAATTCATTGAAAATTAATGAGAAAATTATTTCAAAAAATCAAGTTGCTAAATTTTACCCGAGAGCAGTATATGACATTGTTGCACACAAAGGTACAGCTATCTTTGAATTGCTTCTAGAAGATCTAAAATGATTTGCACAGACTACACAAGCTCACAAAACTTACTTTTTGTACAGCTTGAGCTGTTGCAAACTTAACATGTCCAAATCCTCTTGGCCTCCCTTCATGATCGGTATGTAGACGAACATCAACAATTTCTCCACATTCTTTGAAAAGATATTCCCTGAACAATTTTGAAAATCTAAAAAAGGTACAGAAATTTGGCAAACATCTATGTTAAAAATAATACATACACATCAGCTCGTCCCACTCCATATGACAAGTTTCCAACAAATATTGTCTTCGAGGCAGCATGTTGTTCTCTTGGAGTAGCTAGTGTTGTAGGCTGCAAAATTTCCAAGAAATAGCATCTTATATAACTGATTTGATGGTTTATATTGCAGGAAGATATGATATTATTTGTGTTGGAAATTGTCTATTTGAATCTAGACCGTAGTGTTTCTTCCATTTTCTATGTAGCCTAAATACTTTGTAAGTTGAGAAATAAGAGTAGAATAATTAGTCATTTTTAAATTATTCTTTCTCGTAAATTGCTCTCTATTATTCTTCTACCTATTTTGCATATATAAATCATTCAGCTGAGTGTGCTAATCACTTAAGCTATTTTACACATTCTCTCGATATTTTAAGTAGGTATGAGAGTTAATCCTGTCTCTGCTGCACATCCATCCAGGCTGAATCCCAGTCCCAAGTCCATTGTTTCCCCTAGGAATTTCTACCCATACTTTGAAGTCTTGTTGCTGGAATTCATCATTGTTCTCTGCTCTTTGGTCCAAAGTCAAAACAGCTCTGTGAGGAGCACCTCTCATCAGAACTGATCACCACACTGTTGGCATGTCCCTAGCTCTCATTCTGCCATTTTCTTGCTGTCCATCAGAAAAAGGGAAATCTGAAACCTCTTCTTTTTTGTAAATTAAGGGATTAATATCCCTGACTATACTTGGCAGTTTCAAATTCTTTTCTTTTTTTTTGTAAATTAAATTGTTCGTAATCCCTGGGATCCTGATTTGTTCTACCCTAAAGGCTATTTATGCCTCCTGTATCACTCAATATTAAGTGTGGAAATAAACATTTCTACAGGAACCAATGGGAACAAGTTTATTACCACCTCTGTGACCTACTATGACAATCCATGAAGCCTTTGTCATGAATTTTAGAGCATAAAAACATGTTATACCTTTGGGAAGAAAGCTCAAAAGTATTTATGCCAATGACATTCAAAGGCTGTGTATGATTAAGCACAAAAAAACGGTCACACAAACAGTTTGATCAAAATATTGTCACACAAACAGCCAAAATTATATCACATTTGTGACCAAATTTTAACTGACCAAGAAATCCCTTTGATAGATAATTTGGTTACACGAATTCTTTGGGCTACTTCTGTTAAACTCTGAAAAATGTGAGATGAAATTGTGTTCTGCTGGAGAATTTCATATAAATAGAGTAATACAATTTGATTTTCAGCCCTGAAAAGTAGATAAACTGCAAGAAACGTAATTACAGCTGTAAAATCATGCAGGATCTGCTGGTTTGAATGGCCAAGTATTCTTCCAGTCAACTCCATTGACAACTTCACCAACATCAGGTAGAAGTTTGGTCAATCCTATTGAAACTTTTGCCAGATACCCAATTGTTGAGGAAGGGGAGGTAGTGTAAACCTCATAGGACATGCTGAATGAAGGGAATGTCCTCAATGTACATATAGCAAAAGAAATGATCACACTCAAGATTTGTTACTCCAGTCATGGGTTCACTAGAAAATTTGTAAATGTTTCCATGCGAAATTCCCAAGATAAAATTCTCCATAGCGGACTATGAAGTATCTTCATTACATCTGTTGCAAGCTTAGAGCTTTTGATCTATATGCTCTAGAATGAGGGAGAATATTGCAAATTGAGTTTTAGAATTTGCATTTTAATGATTCCTCCATTTCCTATGTAACCTAGAAAAATTCTAACTTAGGAAATAGCTGTAGATTAATTAGCCATTATTTTCCAATTACTCGTTTTAGGAAATTACTCCCTGTATTTATTATCCTAGCGCTCGCAACTATTTGTGTATATAAATCATTCAGCTTGAGTGTGCTAATCACTCAAGCAATTACACTCATTATCTCTCAAATGTGTCAATGTTTCTTTAATACATCAGTACATCCTTAACCTTTTTCACCCAAGTCAATTATATACTCCAACAAGTCATATAACAAATAAACTTTCAGCAAGCTTAAGAAAATGCACTATGAAATGCATACTTACACTTTCCTGAGTTTTCCAGGCTTTTTCCTCAATTTCTTCTCCACAGTCCTCCAAATGATCTGTATCTTTCATGGCCTGAACTCTTCCACTCGTTTGGAATGAATTGCTCCAGTTGCTACAGTTACTAAAAAGGAAACAAGGGTGGAGGAAAGGCAAGATACAGAAATGAACCAATATAACAGATTAAAGGGTCTTTGGTTTGTGCTAATCCTAAAATTGAATTTTTAATTAAAAAGGTATGTTAAAAATCTTCATAATAATTAGAAAAGTTTCTTGGTATTTGTAAAAACTTAATAAAAAAACAAAAACCTAAAAAAAGAACTGCTTTGATGTTTTTCTCAAAAGCTAGACAAAGAGATCATGAAAAAAGACTAAGAAAATTATCTCATGATAGCACTTTGGATTTTTCAAAATTTATCCAAGCACCCTAAACTCAGAAAGAATATTATATACAGAACTAGACCCGGTAACCCATCCAAATGCACAGGGAAAAACAAAAATGTTCTCCAATTCAAAATGACCACATTTTACAAGAAATTTACATTAGTGCTATTAGGCACGAAAATTAGTTACCAAACAGTGATAGGAGGCTTACGCTTGCAGTTTTATTATATATAGGCGGATTACCTTCTATTGTGAGTATATTCACCCTTTTCTCGAGCTATACCAACTCTAATGCGTCGTCTCAACAATTCTGTATTATCCAAATCAAGAGCCTATGATAACAAAAGCAAAATGATTGTCTGCTCAATGCTTTGCACAGAACCGGGATCAAAAAACATAAGCACAGAAATGAATATGAATCACAGTAACACACTACATATATCAGAAATTTAGAAATAATAATCCCAACCCCTCCATCATTTAAAAACTAATTGCTATGTGCTATGCAAAGATATGGATTCAAATGGTGCATGTAGTTAACACATTCTTAAATTGTGTATATGGGTACACTAGAAAAGATATTAATCAAAGTATGTGTCACTTGAAAATTGATCTCTGATAATATATATATAGGAGACTAATCATAATATTTACAAAATTTCATCTCCTCACCTAATACTTACAATGAATAAACAAAAATAGTGAAATAAATGAGGTTACACTATCAAAATTACCCCTCAATCTAATGAATGCAGATCTATTATTCCGAGATTGTGGGAAAGATCTTAGAACTGCTCATCAACCAATACCTTAGTGAGTATCTCTGCTAGTTAACCTCTGAAAGGCACATATGTGGTAGCTATGGGACCACTATCCAATTTCTCTTTAATGAAATGTCAATCAATCTCTATATGTTTGGTCCTATCATGTTAGACCAAATTATGGGTTGTGTTGATAGCAGACTTATTATCACAAAGTAGCTTCATAGTTGTGAATTTTATTTTGAGATTGTCAAGAATAATCTTCATCCATAATAGTTCACACATTCCTTGGGCCATAACCTGGAATTCAGCTTCAGCACTTGGCCTAACTACAAAACTTTGTTTCTCATTACTCCATGTTACTAGATTTCCATTAAAAAAAAAAAAAAACATACAATATCATGAAGTAGATCTTCTATCTACAACGAAACCTCCATATTCTGCATCTCTATATATTTCCAAGGAGAGATTCTCCCCCGCCTTAAAGAGTATGTCTTGTCTAGGACTTCTCTTTAGATACTAAAGGATCTTATTCATTGCTTGTACTAGTCTTTCACTTGAGTCATGCATGAACTGAATGACAACACTAACAGCAATGGCAAGTCTAGTATAAGATAAATAAATTAGCTTTCTCACGAGTCTATGGTATCAGGTCTTGTCTACAATCGAGCTTTGCCCCTCACCTCCTTTTTGGGGGTTCTACTCTACATGTACTTTACTGGCATTGCATCCCAGCTTCTCAGTCTTCTTTAGAAGATCTAGAACATATTTCCTCTAAAATAAAAGTTTCCTATCAAGAATATGTCGCCTCAATTCCAAAGAAGTACTTTAGTCGTCATAGATCATTCATCTCAAATTGAGTAACTACTATCTCCTTTGAGCACTATTTTTCAATCTCAGTGTTACATACAATAATTATATCATCTACATAAACTAGCAAAAGGGTTAGTTTACCATTTTGCAAGTGTCTTATAAAAGAATATCATCGCTCTAACTTTGAATGTTACCTAAAGATACCATGGCCTTAGAAAATCTCCCAAACCAAGCACAAAGAGACTAATTAAGCCCATATAAAGCTTTCTTCAATCTACACACCTTGTTTCTACCATCAATAATGTCATACCTTGTGGGACATCCATATAAACCTCTTCCTCTAAGTCTCAAAGCAAGAAGGCAGTTTTTACATCAAACTAGTGCAAACTCCAACCAAAGTAGGTTGCTAATGAAAGGATAGTTCTCGCTATATCCATTTTTACCACTGATACAAATGTCTTCTTATAGTTGATTCCATAAGTCTGTGTGCATCATTTTGCAACTAATCTAGCCTTAAACTGATCAAGCGTACCATCTAATTGATATTAAATGCTATAAATTTGCCTGCAACCGACAGCCTTCTTATCCTTGGTATCCATACAATCTCTCAAATTGCATTATTTTCTAATGCACTCATCTATTTATTCATAGCTTGAACACCGGTTATCCTTTAAGGATGTACGAACAACCAATGGACAGGTCACTTGAACACCTCTCATCCTTTAAGGCTTTATGATGTCTAAATTTCTTTAGGAACAAGAAGTTGCTCATGTACTGACAAGAACATTTTTCTTTTCCCAAGGCAATGGACAGGTCATTTGGGTTAGGCTCACAAGTGCTTGAAAAAAATGTCTAATGATTCAAAATTAGTGTTTTTAAGATTTACCTCTAGTTCAGCCGACTAAAGTTGTCAAACCAAGTCGGGTTTTCTTGTCCTTCAATAAACCACGGGAGGTGGGCTCACTTTCTATTCTATAGCGTTGAGTCAACTTCTTTGCCGTAGTCAAAGGAAGGAAGTGCCAATTCCTGCAGATTGCAAGGGGTTTTTTATTTATTTATATTTTTTAAAAATATTATTTATCAAATTTAAAACAATTTCCCTTTGTAGGGTATTTGACACGTGTTTTGCCTGGAGACTTTTGTCACTAGTAGTGGTGAAATTTATAAAAAAAGAACAAAAATATCACCACTGTAATGCCGAAATTTAAATTATAAGAAAAAATAAATTTCCCGCGCTAAATGGGAACGTGGTGTCATGTGTGACTGAAATAAAATTCACAGCATACGGTGGTCGAAAATGCGTGTTTTTTACTCTGGGCCCCACAAAAGCCCTCTTTTTCCATGCCGCACGTAACATTCCTCTCATTAACCGTAACGAAACTTAACGAGTTATAATGTTCCCCATCTCGTCGGTCCCAAAAAGCAGGATTAAAACGAAAATAAAACTATAATTTTAGCAACACTTTTAATTATTTATTAAAATTTTTTAAAAATTAAAAAATTTATTAAATCAAAATTAATAATAATGAAATATATATAATTTTTGCAACTTATAATGAATTTTAAATAATAATAATATATGAAGAATAGTGTCACTAAAACTTATTGATTTATTTTAGGTATTGTTAATTAATATTTTGGTTAAAAATTTAATATTGTTAATTTTACTTTTTTAAAGTTGATTTTAAGTAATTAAAATTTTTTAATAAAAAAATAAATATTTTAAAAATTATCTTCTGCACTTGATTTTAAAAATTATCTTCAAAAATTTTAAATCATTTTCAAATATTGAGCTTAATAAAATAAAAAAATAATAAATAAAAATACTATAAATTATGTTAAAATTAGTTAAAATTGTAATGAAATATATTAACAACAGTTTTTAAATATTTTAAATTTTTTCTCTTATATTAACATTTGTCATTTACTTCTAGTTTGCTCTTTTGTATGTCGTAAGTCATAGGGATGATAATAAGTAAAATATTCAATGGGTACCCGTAAAATTTACCATCAACGAGTGGAGTACTTAGGTTGAGTAATTTAATATAAATATTTATGTTACTCAAATAAAAGAATACATATTTAAAAATAAAAAATTTATCTAATTAAATTTGTTTTATAAGATTAACATAAAAATATATTTACTAATAAAGTAAACCATAAAAATATTTTTTTATATTTTTATTAAAAAAATTTATTTACTATTTTTCATATTGTTAACTCTTCATTGTTCTCAGCTTCATGAAGATACTTTCAAAACACTCATGTGTGCACAAAGTTAGCTAAAACATAAAAATAAAGGTATTAAATATTCTATTAATATATTTATTCAATTAAAGTTTCTGTTAGTTTTAATTTGATAGTTTAATATCAAAGCAATATCTAAACCTAAAAGATAAGCGTTTGCAATTATTTGGAGAGTCTGATTTTGATAAAGAGGTAAAATAGCATAACTATATTTTATTATTTTGACTTTATAATAAATAATTGACTAATTTTTATTTTTATTTTTTAGATATCGGAGAGTGACAGTATGACTCTCAAGTTTATGAGTTACTTGTTTTAAAATATCTTGAAAATTATATGTGCGATTTCACTTATGTTTTTTAAGTATTTTAATTTAAAAAGTTGATGTATTAAAATACACTTGGCACCTAAGTTATTTGAATATTTGTTTTCTATTTATACTTGAACTTTGTTCAATAGTTACGTATCAAACTTTTGTATTATTATACTACTCATGTAAAATTATATAAGCATACTTTTATAAGTGCTTTTTTTATTAGACAAACACGGGTAACAAGAGCGGGTATGGGTATGTGAGTACCCAAAAGGTATGAGTATGGAAATTAAAAGTACTACTCACACAGGTATGAGGCTGGATACAGGTATTTTTTTTAAATGCGAGTATAAGAATAAGTATTATTGTACCCTATATATTGCCATCCCTAGTGAGTTGTAGCTAGGCATAGAAATAGGCTAAGTTTTGTATAAATAAGTCTGACTTATTTAATAATTTTGAAGTTGAAGTCTGACTCATTATCTGTCATAGACTTTTTATTAAGCTTAATCTGACATTTTTAAAAGTATGTTTTGTCTTATTATAGTTTTTTTAATGGCCTACTTTGTATTGAGATCTTTAAATAAAAAAATTTTGTTTTTCTTAATTGGATAAAGACATTTTGTTAACCTAGATATAAAGAGTTATATATAATATAAACAAATATGTAAGAAGATGATGGATGAAACGAACCAACGATAGACATAATTGAGACAGCACAAATGCAAATCAGTATTATGTATATAAGATAAATCAAACAAAATTGATGTAGAAGATTCCTGCAGGCAATGCTCCATCTCATAGAGTATATGTAGGTACACTCTTCAACTCCAACAAAAAAAATTAAAATTTTTAATTTAAGATTTTATTAATTTTATTTAATATAATATTATATTATAATTTTTATATAAAATTATATAATATATTATTATAAATTTTTAATTTAAATAGATTATTCTAATAGGCTTAACAGGCTTTTTCTTAAATTTAAGTCTGGCATATTTAATTAATTAAGCCTAAATTAAACTCATTACTTAAATAGGCTAAGTCGAGCTAAACTTTAAAAAGATTATGTTCTAGGCTTCCTGTCAAACTAGCTTATTTTCATTCCTAGTTGTAGTCCTTGATCCAAACTTTGTGATTCTGTCAATGTTCTCAGAGGTAAACAAGTACAAGGTAGTGAATTTTGTTCGTCACATATAAGGATAGATACAGATCAGACTAAACTTTCCTCTAAACAGACCTAAGTTGTAATATAATTATTAGACTTGAACTTGACTTGTTACCTATTAAAGGCTTTATTTTCAACTTAACTTGACTTATTTAGTCGGCCTGACTTGGCATGAAACCTGTTAAAAAAAGTCTGCTACAAAAAAAAAAAAAAACCTTAATATTAGTTTACATGTTTTCAAATTTTTATATACTATTGATAATTATTAAATAATTGTAATAATTTTGATATAATTTTATAAATGATTTTTAAAATATTATTTGAGCATTAAGTATAAATATTTTCATATTATAAAATTTTTCTTTTATTTTTATTAATTTAATTTTATAAAATTATTAAAGTATCAAATATTTTAATTATTTTTTATGATAATTATATTTTTTGTATGTAAAGACAACTTATATTCAATAAATAAAATCACAGTAAACACATAAAATTAATAATAAAAAATAACACTTACAAAATTTGTTGAATCAATTAAAAAAAATATTATATTTAAAAAAGTAAATATCATCATTATAAAAATTGTAGATAAAAAATATTTATATTATCAAATTTATGAATGCAGAAAAATAACATATGAGCATAATAAAAATTAATAAAATTTATATTTAAATTAAAATAACTTATATTTCTAAACTTTTATCTTAATAAGAAAAATGTGATAAAACTTTAATATAAAATTTTAAACTCAATGACAATAATAATAACTATTAACTTAAAAAAAATAATTTAAAATATTTAATTTTATTTGTTTCATTAATTTTTTATTTTAAATTAACAAATATACGTAAAATTAATTACACAATAACATTAATATAATATAAAAAATATTACTGATACAATATATTAAATCATATTTATATATTATATATAAATTAATAAATTAATTAATAATATAATTTTTTATTTATATTTTTTTGTTTATGTAAATATTTATTAATTATTAAATTTCAAATATATATTAACAACTATATTTAAAAAAAAATCTATTTATATCTATGTCAAATTCATTAAAAATAATTATTTAAAATTTAATATATTTATATTTAAATGTGTGACTATGTAGTGTGGACTTGGTTTCTAAAAAAAAATTTTATAAATACCTTACTCAACAAATTTATACCAATAAAAATAAAACACATAGTAAGTTACAAAAAGTATATATTATTATTTATAATTTATTTAAAATTATATCATTTATATTATTTATTATATTATCCTATTATATATATATATATATACATATATTGTATATTGACTTTTTATTTTATTTTCTATCTTTTTTTTATAAAATTTTAGTTTCAAATAAAATATAATTCATATTTAAATAATTTTTATTTATTATAAAGAAAAAAATTAAACATAACATATTAATATAATAATTAAATATTAATAATAATAAAATTAATAATATAAAAAATATATTAATATAATTTATTTTTTATTTTTAAATTTTATTTTGTTTAATTTTAATTACGTCTTATTCATGATCAAAGAGTTAACCACTTTTTAACTTGTTTATATGTAACAAATATAATAATTTATTATTAAATAAATTTATTATTTAAAAAATATAATTGTGTATAAATATTTTTAATTTTTAATATAATATAATTTCTATTTATTATAATTATAAATAAAAAAATTATAACATAATATATATTAATTTAATTATAACATAATTAAGAATATAAAAAATATATTAATAAATAATTTTATTATTTAAATATGTTTTAACAGCTATATTTTTAATTATATATATAGGTCAGTTTATCATGTTTAACAAGTTTTATAAACAATTCAGGCCTACTTTATTTATTTAAATAGTCTTTAAAAAAAACCTAAATTTTGTTTGTTTATTAAAAATTCAAGTTACCGGGCTTGTTTCCATCCTAGTCACACAATGGACACCACGTTCCCATTTAGCTCGTGGCAAGGTAAACAATGACATGAGAGGGTGGTGTGCTGCTTTCACCCGCTGCCGAAGGCCCCTATGACGCGATGGCGCATGTTAGAGTGTTGGTGGTCTGTCAGGGACAACTCCACGGATAGGCCAGTCTTGGTAGCGCGCTCTAAACAGTGTGGTCGTCAAAGTTGGTCAGCGGTTGGTTCAACGGTGGTGCTACAGGGTGTCCAGTGGCTGTATGGCTGGGAATGCCGAGACAAAAAGAAACCCAAGCACAATGAAAGTGCTGCAGATTCAGGGAAGCATTGTAATGAAGATGCTTCTAGGGTTTGTCATACGGAAATAGGACCAAGACTAATCCTAATATTTATAGAATAGAATATCTCCTAATAATTACACAGAATAAAAGGAAAATAGTGAAACAAATCTATACAAAAAATAGCAATAATGAGGATATATGTTCTTAATATAATGCCAATCGAACAATAGATTCCAAAGAAAAGGCTATAAGCATCAGGAAGACAGCCATGAATAAAAAGCATACCCCTCAAAATTGCAGGTTTCAGCAATATCAATAACCATAAAACCTCAACCACAGCTAAGTAGAGGGTAGCAATTAGCTTCAGGAATCAAATCAAGAAATTTCATTGAAAATGCTTGGAAAGAGAAAAATATTTCAATAAATCAAATTGATAAATTTTCACCCGTGAAATAATAGGGCATTGTTGCTTCCAAAGGTACATGTATTTATGAAATCCTTTTGGCAGTTTTAAAGTTATTTGCATTAACTACTTAACTACACAAAGTCACAGAACTTACTCTTTGTGCAGCTTCTACGGTCGCAAACTCAACTTGTCCAAATCCATTTAACCTCCCCTCGTGATCTGTATGTAGATGAACGTCAACAATTTCTCCACACTCTTTGAAAAGAATTTCCCTGAAAATTTTTTAAATTAGGAAAACAGTACAAAAAATAAGCATCAAGCCACCGCATTAAAAAAAAATACTTACATATCAGCACGTTCCACTCTGTATGACAAGTTTCTAACACATATTGTCTTGGATGGATCATTTTTTTCTTTCCAACTAGCAAGCATTTTAGGCTGCAATGTTCAAGGAAATAATAACATATACAACTAATTTGATAATTTAGATGGTAGAGAGCGAGTATTTTGTTCTGTTACAGCTCTCTTTCCAATGTAGGCAGTACCAATAATCTCCATATCTTTAACTATTTCACACAAGTCAACTATATACTCCAATAAGTAACTTAACAAATGAATGTTCCGCAACCTTAGGGCAAATGCATTACGAAATGCTTACATTTTCCCAAGGACTTTTGTAGGCTTTTCCCTCAATATCCTGCTCGCAGTACTCTGAATTCTCTGCACCTTTGATGGGCTGAATCCTGTCACTTTTCTGGAATGTGTTACCCCAATTGCTAAAAATTAACAAGGAAAAGGCAAGGGGAAGAATGAATAGGCACAATGCTATATATAGAAATGAACCAATATAAGAAACTGAAGGCTCATTTGTTTTTGCTTTTCATGCTAATGCATGTTTAATTAAAAAAACATGTATCAAAATAATTGTAATAATTGAATTATAAAAACAGAACACTATTTCAATATTTTTCTCAAAAACTTAAAAAAAGGAAAAGAGACTATATCACAAAAATGTTTTTATTCAAAGCTTATCCAAGCATCCTGAAGAAAAGGGTTCATATACAACTAGACATGGTAACCCGTGCAAATGCATTGGAAAAATCATAAAAATGTTCTCCAATTCTAATTAAAAATCATGCTGAAAAATAATGTAATAATTGAATCAATTTGAAAATAAAAACATTGTTTCAATGTTTTCACAAAAGCTAAAAAAAGAATAAAAAAGAGAAAAAAAACTGTATCAGGAAAATGTTTTTATTGAAAGCTTATCCAAGCATCCTAAGCAAAAGGGTTCGTTCATATATGTCGAGAGAGAATAAAATAGAAGAGCATTAGATGTAATCCATGTGTCACATCTACACAACAGGATGAATAGTAATATTTATATTAGTAATAACAATATCAGCAATGATTATAAAATAATTACAGAATATACAGTTATTTAATCACCATAATTACAAATAAACTAATTTCACTAATTAACATATTTACACATATTTAACACTCTCTCAAGTTGAAGCATATAAATCATAAGCACCAAACTTGTCACATATCTATTTAATACGAAGACCTCTCAAAGACTTGGTGAATACATCTCCCGATTGATCATTTGAATTAACAAAACTAGTGATAATTTTAAAGAGGATCTTCTCACAAATGAAGTGACAATCTATCTCAATGTGTTTTGATCTTTCATGGAAAACCGGATTTGAAGCAATATGTAAGGCTGTCTAGTTATAACAGATAAGTGTCATTTGTGTGACCTTCCCAATTCTCAATTCTTTAAGTTGTTTTAGCCAAATAAGTTCACACGTGACTAAAGTTGTAACTTGATATTATTCTTTCGCTTTGTAAAGAGAAACCACCTTTTGCTTCTTACGCTTTTACAAAATTAGATTACCTCCAATCAAAATGCAATAGCTAGAGATAAATCTCCTATCATAAGAGCCACCGGAGAATGGAAGATTCACCCATAAACAAAAGAGGAACCCGTAGCTGTCAGACCTGTTTTCGACCTCTTTGCCTACCACTTACTGACCACGCTTTTCCGAAAGGTTTTATCTTAGCTGCAGCCTCTTTCCCAAGTCTCTCTCACCTTGAAAGCACCTAAGAAGAAGAGCATATTTCTAAAGTTTCGTTTGGATTGAATCTCTTCTTTGCCTGACTGCCCTATGTGGTATGTCCCTCCCTGAAATGAAAGAAAGTCCCTCCTCATCTAAGCCAGCATAAATTGCATCAAAATACCCTACAATCCGAGCATAACCCTTGTCTTCATACAAGAAAACTTTTCCTAGAAATCCTTTGATATACTTTAAGAAGCAAAGCAATGCATTATAATATCCTTGACAATGGGAATTAAGGAATTGACTTATCACACTGAGAGCAAAAGAGATATTTGGACGAGTGATAGTGAGGTAGTTCAGCTTTCCTACCAATCTATACATCTCTGGATTAGAAACAAGCTCCTCCTGATTTGGCAAGAGTTTGGAATTACAATCAACAGGAGTATTCACAAATTTGAACCTTATCAAGTATTTTTCTTCTAAAATATCCAATGCATACTTTTTCTAAGAAATTACAATATTGTTCTTAGATCGTGTCACCTTTATTCCCAAGAAGTATTAAAGTCTAGCAATATTTTTTTGTCTCACAAATGGTGACAAAGATAGTTATTCAATTGTTTAATGTCATGGTGATCATTGCTAGTAACAACAATGTCGTCAATACAAACAATCAAATCAAAGCATCCTGCAAATGAATGTCAATAAAAAACTAAATAATCAGCTTCACTCTTGAGACATCCCAAACTCTTGAACCACAATATTGAATCTACTAAAACATGCCCTTGCAGATTGTTTAAGGACATACAAAGATTTTTGTGGACAACAAACTAATTATGAAGATTCCTCCCGAGCAACAAATTTAGGAACTTACTCCATATAAACTTCCTGAATGAGTCCTCTTGAGCAACAAATTCAAGAGGTTGCTCCACATAAATTTCCTGAGTGATTCTTCCTGAGCAACAAATCCAGGAGGTCATTCCATATAAACTTTCTTAGTGAGCTCACCACAAAAAAGTATTCTTGACGTCAAATTAATGTAGAGGTAAATAGTATATGGCAGTCATGGATAAGAATAAACAAACAGAAGTCATTTTACCCACTAGAGAGAAGATATCATCATAAATAAAATCAAAGATCTAAGTACAACCCTTGGCCACTATGAGCTTTAAGGTGATGACCATTAGAGCCAACTTTGACAGTGTAAATCTACCTATAACCAACAACATATTTCTCCGAAGAAAGAGGAATGAAGTCTCAAGTGTCACTGCTCCAAAACACACACAATTTGTCCATCATTACTTGTCACCTAGGATGTGAAAGGGCTTTATCTATACTGAAGATAAAGAACAAAGACACATAATGGAAATAAGATAAATGGTGATATGTTTAAATAACATAATGAAGAGAGCAATTATAAGTGGAATGTATACCTTTTTGTAAAACAATAGGAAGATCAATCTTAGGAGGCCAGGCTAGAGGAGTTGGTCCCAGCAATGAGTCAAATGGAGTCCTAATGTTGGCCAATGATGAAAAAGGATAAAGGTCATCTGGAAAAGGTGGTTTCTGATAATGATACACAACCAAAGGATGTAGAGGAGGTTCATTTAGAGGTGATAGCTCTAATGGGTGAAAGAAGACTAAAAATGGAAAAAGATGTAGATGAAGAACCAAAACATTAAACAAACTCATCAAAGATATGGTAAAGCTTAAGTGTCAAAAATTAAGACTTATAGCCCTTTTAAGAAGGATCATAAACAAGAAAAGACGCGTTAGCATGAGCAAAAAGCTTGTCATCTATTGGACTAAGATTATAGACAAAATAAGTAAACCCAAACACACGAGGAGGAATAGGATGAAGAAACTGGTGAGGAAAGAAGACATAGTGCAACCTAGTTGTTTAGAACAAAAGAGGGCAATAGATTGATAAAATACGAGGCTGTAAGGAAAGCATCACCCCATAAACAATGAGGGCCTTACCATGTAGAAGGAGAGTGCAAGTAATTTCAATAAGATGCCTATTTTTTCTTCCAGCAATCCTGTTTTGTTGAAGAGTATGAGCATAAGAGGTTTGATGAAATATTCCATTGGAAACCATAAATTGTTGAAAAGAATGAAACAAGTACTCGTGGGCATACAAAATGCATATAGAAACCACCAATTGACCTTTTATTTCATGGTAAAAGATTAGAAAAATGGAGAATAGTTCAAAAAATTTTTTCACTAACAACCAAATACGAAAATAATCATCAATACATGTAACTACCAAAATCCTAAAGTATGATATGAGTAGGACTTCAAACATCTAAATGAACTAAAGGCAGACACAACTTAATTATGGATACAATTGGGTAAAGAATTAGGAACATGTTTATCTAATTGACACAAATCACAAGACAAAGTAGACAACTTAGAAAAATTTGGCCCCAAATGTTGCAGTTTCTAGAGACTAGGATGACCCAACTAAACCAGCATGAGCAGCTGGACAAATGTGATACAATCCATGTGACTAACATCCAGTGTCAATCATCTACTCCGAACTTTGGTCCTACAGGAAGACAAAGTCTTTAGTAATAGAGACAACACAATCTAGAGTGCATGTAAGAAACTAATGGATAAAAAATTAATACGAGATCCAAGTACATATAAGACATTGTCAACAGGTAAGGAGGGAAAGGGATGAACAGTTCCAATACCCTAAGACTGTGTTTGAGAACCATTGGCTAAAGTACCTAGAGGTAGAGAGATTTGTTATCATTGGTATGATCAATGGCACCAAAATCAAAAATCATGAACCAAGAGATGTAGAATGAGAAATACCAAAAAGAATTACTAGTGTGCACAACAGAAGCCATGGAACTAGAGGTCTAAGAATCTTAAAACCAACAAAGGAAGTCATGTGAAGATAGTCAAAGGTGCTTGAGAAGTGGTAGGAGTCTCAAGAAGAGCAGACAGTAACATGTGCAACATAGGCCATTTTAGGAGATCGGCCACATAAAGCAAAGCAGCTATCCATAGTATGACCAATTTTGTAGCAATGGTCACAATTGAAGTGCAATCTACAATCACCACCATTCTTTCAAGTAGGATTGCAACCACCACCCTATGAAATAAAGGCTGAAGAGTCAACAAGGGCAGAGAGATTAGGAGCAAGAACCTCCAAGTGAGTAGGTGCTTTAGTAGGAATGCAGAGCAACGAGGACCGGGTAGAAGTCATAGTGGGAACAGTGAATAATCCTAAAATCTGATCCCAAACTTGTGAGTATTCTGTAGTTAAAACATACAAAGTTAACAACATAAAACATGTCTGACGTTAATCCAATTCCTTGGCAAGAGAGGCAACAAGAGGCAATAATTCATTGCAGTCATAAAGAAAACTGCTTATATGGCCCAAATAGGTCAACATAGTGCCATCAAGTCTCCAAGCTGTAGCAGCATCCATGAGGGGTTGATAAACCCTATATAGACATTGAAGTCATTAATGTAAAGTGCCTTGACGTGGGACCAAACCGATTCACATGTAACATGATTGAAAAATCTCCTTCACAAAAGGATGAATAGTATACTTGATGGCACTGCAAAGTTGAGCATCTACCTTACTCCATTTGTCCTATAAAGCCTCAGTACCGATTCTTTTTTGGTAGTGCTATGATCAACATAGCCTTGCCTTGAGCCAAAGTTTGATGTCAAAAGCCTAAGAATCATAATTACTCCCATCCAACTTGTCACTGGACAATGGTGCAATGACAAAGTTGGTAAAAATAGAGAAATTAGCTTTGGGAGGGTATGAAGATGCTAGGAGCAGCCAACAACAGAGGAAAAAGGGACCAAAACAAAGTAGCACAAAGACCGAAATTAAAAAGCAACCCTAAATCCAGAATCATCTCGACAAGGTGAGTCAAGCGAGCTACACAACAACCAAAAAATGTTGCCTGACGCGCCACCACGTGCAACACCGTGTGCAATGGGAATGGTGGCCAGAGCAAGAAAAATTGCACAGTTGTTGGGTGGCACATGAAGGGCAATTGCAGTGCCAATGAAGATTGACAAGCAAGGCTAAGTTGCACACAGTGAGACGAACCAGATCCACTAGTTTCTGGTCAGAAAACACATTGGAATGATGACAGCAGCAGTGGCAATGGTGGCCAAAAAGAGAGGCTGAAAAAAAAAAAACCAAAAACAGAAGAGAAAATGGTTTATGAAAACCATGAGCATTGGGCCCATCGAGAAAGGACATATTAGGATTGCTCTCTTGTTAGGCTTTGGATACCATGTGAGAGAATAATACAAAAGAGCATAGGATGTAATCCGTGTGTCTCAACTACAAACGGGACTGAATATTTACATTGATAATAATATCAACAATGATTACAAAATCATTACTTAATATAAGGTATAAAGATATTAATTTTTATAATTAACATATTTACACATATACAACAATATATAACTAGACATGGTAACCTATGCAAATGCATCAGAAAAAAATGTTCTCCAATTCTAAATGACCATGGTTTGTAAGAAATTTACAATAGTGCTTTTAGGAAGGAAAATTTGTCACCAAATAGGACAGGAGGCAGGCATAGTTTTATTATATATGTACATTACCTTCTATTGAAGGTATACCCTCCCTTTTCTTGAGCTATACCAACACTAATGCGACGACTCAGCAATTCTGTATTGTCCAATTCAAGAGCCTATGATTACAAAAGAAATTTGATTTTCAGCACAATGTCTTTTGCATAGAAGAGGGATTCAACAAACATATAGATATAGATATAGATAAGAAAGCCTACAATATCAATGTCAACTTCCCATCACTTAAAAAGTAATGGTTTCACAAAGACAAGATGTTGAATAATGCATGTAGCTAACAACAACTACTATGATTGACTTGGCAATTTTTGTATTAGGCACAGAAAAAGATCCCCCATTACAACAAATGACCAAGTAACTGTACAAAACAAAATTCCATAGCATACAACAACAACAACAACCAAGCCTTGTCTCACTAGGTGAGGTCGGCTACATGGATCACTCGACACAATTGAGGTTGGTCAAAAACAAAATATTCAGAAATTTGGTTAATCAAAAGGTCTTTCTAAATTCCATAGCATAAATTAAAAAAAATGTTTAATTAAGTGTTTGATCCTTAAAAAAGTTGCACAATTTGAACTTAGTCCCTATAAATTTTTTTATTAGAACATAGTCCGTACTTTTTCTCCAATACTTTGTTTTTAGTCTCTCTAGCTGACACAGTACATTTAACTACTGTCAAGTGTCAACTTATGATTGGACCATATCAGCTAGATGGACTAAAAACAAAGTTCAGAGAAAAAAGTAGGAACTATATCCTAAAACAAATTATAGGGACTAAGTCCAAATTATAAAACTTTTGGAGACCAAAGTTACCAAACACTTAATTAAGCCTAAAAAAAATAGATGAACTTATTTGACAATGCCTATTTTTTACATATTATCAAAATCCATTGTAAAACAATACAAAAGAGAAAAAAAATGTTTGCAAATCGTTTGCAAGAGATATTTTAGTAAGATTATGGCAATCATACAACTTGGACACTTACTATTAAAGAATACAATTTTACAAAACAGATTGCGAGGAACTTCTTTTCCACTGCATAATCATGCACCTCCCTACACAAAATCTTGATATCACACATTAACCAGATATCTATACACATTTATGATGTCAATCCAACATTAAATTCCAAAGACAAGGCTATATACTTCTTGAAGACAACCATAAACTAATACCAAGCCCCTCAAATTGCAGGTCTTACCAATATCAACAACAATAAAGCCTCAACCTAGAGCTAAGTATAGGGTAACAATTAGCTTCAGCAATTCAATAACTATCATTGAAAATACTACAAATGAGAAAAATACTTCAATAAATCAAATTGTTAAAAATTTAACACTGAAATGTACAGAACATTGTTGCTTCCAAAGGTACAACTATCTTTCAAATGATTTTGGCAATTCTAAAATGATATGCACATACTGCACAAGGTCACAAAGATTACTTTTTGTGCAGCTTCTGCTGTTGCAAACTCAACATGTCCAAAACCTCTAAACCTCCCTTCATGATCCATATTTAGACGAACATCAACAATTTGCCCGCACTCTTTGAAAAGAGTTTCTCTGAAATTTTTTTAAATTAGAAAAACAAACAGAAAATAATTGACAAGCACTGCATGAAAAATAATACATACATATCTGCCCGTTCCACTCTGTATGACAAGTTTCTGACACGTATTATCTTTGATGGAGCACTTTTTTCTTCCAAAGTAGCAAGCATTTTAGGCTGCAAAATTCCAGGAAATAACATATTACACAACTGATGTATAATTTACAGTGCCGAGTATATTGTTCAACTACAGCTTTCTTTTCAGTGTAGGCAGCACCACATCCTTAACTCTTTCATCCTGAGTCAACTATATATGCTAAAAAGTCATATAACAAATGAATGTTCAGCAGCCTTAAGCAAATGCATTATGAAATGCTTACAATTTCCCAAGGACTTTTGGAAGCCTTTCCCTCAATTTCTGCCTCACAGGACTCTGAACTCTCTGTACCTTTGATGGGCTGAATTCTTTCACTTTTCTGGAATGTGTTGGTCCAGATTCTAAAAGTTAACAAGGAAACAGCAAGGGGAAGATTTGGGCATAAGGCTAGGTGTAGAAGTGAACCACTTTAAGAGATAAAATGCTAATATGTTTGTGCTTATAAAGTAATACATTTTTAATTAAAAATACATGTTTAAAAAGTTTATAATATAAACAAGAATTTTGAAAAGGAAAAAAAAAATGTAAATGTTTTTCTCAAAAACTAAAAAAAAAAAAAAATTACAAAGAAAAATATAAAAGAAAACAACATGAAAGCGTTTCTTTTCAAAACTTATCCAAGCAACCTAAACAAAAAGTGTACATATATAACTAGACAAGGTAACCCATGCAAATGCATGGGAAAAAATTTTAAAAAAAAATAGTTCTCCAATTTCAAATGACTATGTTACATAAGAAATATAGACCGATGCTCTTAGAATTTAGGAAGGAAAATGTCACCAACCAAGACATGAAGCATGCACTGTGACACTTTATATGTACATTACCTTCTATTGGAAGCATATTCACCCTTTTCTTGAGCTATACCAACTCTAATGCGACGTCTCAATAATTCTGTATTATCCAATCCAAGAGCCTAGGATTACAAAAGAAAGTTGATTTTCAGTCTAGTGTTCTCACATTGAAGAGAAGTTCAACAAACATAAGCCAACAGATGATGGTGAGACAAGGCAACACAGGCAATACATATATACACACACACAAAGAGATATAGAGAGAAGAAAAAGATCAACTTATAACAGAGTATCCAGGCTATTCTACTGAAACCTCTGAATCTAAAGAGAGGCAAAGAGCTTTCCAAGCCCAGCAACTAACCCAATACCTGTGACTATCCTATCCACCCAAAACTAGTTTAAACCGTATAAACTGAGACACGAGTAACCTGATCCTCAAAATGGGCAATATCAGTCAATATTTTTAGACTATTGGTTAGTTGCGATTTAGGAATTTTTGGTCCAAAACGAACCAGTTCTCAGCCCTAGCCTTCCCAACCTGTTGTGTATTCTTCTTCCAAGTATTGCAGCGACTTCAAAGAGCTGCTCCACATAAATCAGCCACCAGTAGGCTTCTTTTCCTTCAAATTTTGATATCTCCACGAACTCATCTAGAGTTCTTTAAAAACTTGCTTCTCCATTCTTGCTATCCCAAAAACCACTTGGATCCACTTCAAAATGCACACACTACTTCGAGATGTCAAACTGTGAAAAATATAGGTCAAAATTGTGTTCTCCTGCTAGAGATTTCTCATATAAATAGTGTCATACAATATGATTTTTAGCTCTGAAAAATAGCTATCCTAATTAAGGGAATAAATACATAATTACAGTTGTACAATCATGTTATCCTACAGCTGGGCTATCCTAATTAAGGAGATAATAACGTAATTACAGCTGCACAAACATGCAGATTTGCTGACCAATTATTCTATCAATAAATTCCATTGTCATCCCCCTTCAAATTGAAGGTGGTAAATCTACAAGCATCAATCTGCTAACTAGGAAATTATAGGGCTGTTGTGCTAAGGATTTAGTGAAAATGTCAGGGATTTGAACAGATGTGGAGACATGAGGTAGAGTGATAACTCTATGGTCATAGGCTGTACTTCGTCTGTTCATGGTAAATTGGATTTGCTGCAATTTGTATGGCACTTGTAATTTCAGCATGTAGTGGAGTTGGTTGTTGTTGTTGTTACTCCCACAACAATGGAACCACGCCAACCACCGTCGCCTCCGCCACACACCATCCTCAGGAAGTACCAACTCACACGCTTCTTAGTGCACGGAAACTTCACAAAGGTGTACCAAGCGCGTTCCCTGGTCGATGGTGCCACCGTGGCTGTTAAGGTCATCAAAAATCCAAAATGGTGGACGCCGCCATGGAGCCCTGCATCGTGCACAAAATCGATGCCATGCGCCACCTCCACCACCAACCTAATATCCTCAAAATCCATCAACATGACCCCAAAGATCCTTACCTTTGACAAATATCATGAACTAGAAGGCCCAGGCTGAGTAGTTCTTGCCATGAAGGCAAACTAATAAGACATCATACTTGTCAATAGACATGAGGCTAAGTCTGAACAAAGAAGAAATCGCAAAAGGGACAAGAAACAAGAGAGACTAAGTCTGGACCAAGACAGACGTGAAAAAATACAAGACTAGGAATTTTGGGCGAGACTAGGCTAGGATCGTAACCAAGACTGATACCATGTCAAACTCTAAAAAATATAGGTCAAAACTGTGTTCTACTAGAGATTTCTCATATATATAGTGTCGTACAATCTGATTTTCAGCCCTGAAAAATAGATATCCTAATTAAGGGAATAAATACATAATTATAGTTGTACAATCATGCTATCCTACAGCTGAGCTATCCTAATTAAGGAGATAATAATGTAATTACAGCTGTACAAACATACAGATTTGCTGACCAAATATTCTGTCAATAAATTCCATTGTCATGAGGTTGGAGCTTTGATACCAGTTGATAGAAACTAGATAAAGAACCAATATCGATAAACACAAATTACAATGATAGAACACTGCAGTTCTTTCAAGGACCGCTCCTCCCAAGTCAAAGGCCCTAATTCTCTCACAATTCACGAGCTCCCCCTTCTCAACCTCTCTTATTAATAGGCAAACTGCAATAATTCCTTTTTTGTCTCAATCCAACAAACTAACAATTATCAACAACTAACTCTCTAAATACTAATTATAATCTAATTAACTATGGGTATTACCTATGATGCTCTTAAACAGCACTAGAGGGAGTACTAGATTTTTGAGGAAATAAACTTAAGGGAAATCTGTACTCATTGAAAATTACATCTTTAGAAAAAGATTTTTTCCATCACCATTTAGACGTTTGTAACCTTTGTGGGTTGAAGAATACCCAAGAAAAATGCATTCAGCAAATCTGAATTCCAGTTTATAAGTGTTGGAGGGCCTAAGCAAGGGATAGCACAGCAAATGCCTTTAGGACCCATTTAGTAGACAAGATAAGATTTTATTTTATTTGATTTCTTGACGTGATTAACCAACAAGATGTAAGAAACTGATTCAACTCTTAAAGAACAACAGAAGAAAAGACTTTTCTCTATTGAATATTCTCAACCAGAACCCATTACCAACAACTGACGAAAGATTGAATAAATACAACGAATATCCCCAGGAATTCAAGAGCCCAGAGTCTCCCAACCCAAATCCAATTGTCTATCTGAATGCCCCCCCCCCCCCTTTTTTCTCTATTTATCATTGGTTGTTTTACAACTTCTCAACTAACTGGGCTTCTCTAAATCTTTGGGCCATGGTTCCTTTCTCTCTTACAGACTTGTTTAATTGGGGTTTGGGTCTACTACTAACACAAGACAAGATAGTTTATCCTATGGGCTTATCCTATCCTTTTCTCTAATGTAAATTTTATTCTGTAGGAAGTCAGAGTCAGAAATAAACAAGATAGGATAACACAATGTACTAGTTTCTTATCTTGGCAATGCATCAAACATAAAATAAAATAAGAGTGCTCTTAATCTTTTCTTATTTATTTCTCACTCCTATCCAATCATATCCACCAAATGGATCCTTAGGGACTTGAAATCTGGAACCTGTCTAGTGAGTTTTATAAAAGGAATTTGACCGTTTAGTGCTGAAGAAGGAAGCCTATTTACCATGATAGAATTTGAAATGAAGAGAAAATTTGATAGAAGAAAAGTAGTTTTGTATCACTGAATTGACAATTGATTAACCTAAAAACAGAGTTATTTATATTGTAAGTCTTGGGCTGTAAGCTATGCAACAGCCTAACTGTCATTTGACAGTTACAAGTTACAACAGAAACAGAAAGTTAGTCATGGTACATACAATTGTATTCTAACAGTATTATAACACAAGAAGGGGATGACTTTATGACAAATGACCAGGTTAGCAAGCTGTATAAAAGTTTCGACCAATAAACCAGTTAGAATAATATACCACTGCACAAATCAAAAAGCTTATTGTGAATTTATTTGACAATGCTATTAATTCCACATTATCAAAATGAATTAAGTAATAATACCCAAAAAAAAGAAAATGCTTGCAAATAGTGTGCTAGAAATTTTTTACATTACTACAAAACAGATTACGAGGAAACTTTTTTACATTGCATAGTCATGCCTCCCATCCGCAAATACCATGACATATATATAGATTCCATAAACAAGGCTTTATAGTATGAACTGATACCATGCCCCTTAAAATTGCAGGTTTTAGAAATATCAGCAATAATAAAGCCTCAACCCACAGCTAGAGGTACAGGATAGCAATGTATTTCAGGAATTAAATTCAACAAATTTCATTGATAATATTAGAAATGAGAAAAACATTTCAATAAACCAAAATGATTTGCAATGACTGCACAAAGTCAAGCTTACTTTTCGTGCAGCTTCTGCTGTTGCAAACTCAACATGTCCAAAGCCACTAAACCTCCCTTCATGATCCGTATTTAGATGAACATCAATAATTTCCCCACACTCTTTGAAAAGAATTTCCCTGAACAATTTTGAAATTAGAAAAATATTACAGAAAACATTAATAACAACCGGGATGAAAAATAATACATACATATCAGCCCGTTCCGCACTGTATGACAAGTTTCTCACATATATTGTTTTTGATGTATCATTTTGTTCTTTCCAAGTAGCTAGCATTTTTGGCTGCAAAATTCCAGGAAATAACATATTATACAACTAATTTGATTATTTACATTGCAGGGAGAGAGCATGCTCAATTACAGCTTTCTTTGCAATGGAGGCCACATCAACCATCTCCACATCCTTACCTATTTCACACAAGCCAACTATATACTCCAATAAGTCATCTAACAAATGAACATTCAACAGCCTTAGACAAATGCATTACGAAATGCTTACACTTTCCCAAGGAATTTTGGAAGCTATTCCCTCAATTTCTTCCTCACAATACTCCGAACTCTGTGTACCTTTGATGCCCTGAATCCTTTCACACTTCTGGAATCTCCAACTGCTAAATTTACTAAAGCAAAAGTCAACAGGGAGACACTGGCATAAGGCAAGACATATAAGTGAACCAATATAAAAGATTAAAGGTTCATTGGCATAATGCATTTTAAATTAAAAGCATGTTTTAAAAAATTATAATAATTAGATAAGCTTATAAAAAGAAACTATTTTAATGTTTTTCTCATAAGGTAGAAATAGTAGCTGATGCAATAAAGTAGAAAATGAAAAACTATGTCATGAAAACACTTTAAAACTAGAGATGGTAACCATGAAAATGTGCAGGAAAAAAAATTAAAAATGATCTCCCATTCAAAACAACCATGTTTTGTAAGAAAATTACATTAATGCTATTGAGCAGGAAAATTTGTCACCAGGCAGTGACAAGAAGCAAGCTCTGGGACAGTTTTATTATATATGTAAATTACCTTCTATTGGGGTTAGATTTTCCCTTTTCTTGAGCTATATCAATTCTGATAGGACATCTCAACAATTCTGTATTATTCAACTGAAGAGCCTATGATTACACAAGCAAAAATTCATTCTTAGCTCAATGTCTTTCCACAGAACAAAGGTTCACCAAACACAAAAGCAGATATGATGACAAGGCACAGCAGACTCCAACAGTTGTCGAAGCCTAACAGATAACAAACAGAAGACTTGCTCTGCAACCTTCAAACTATAGAGACCAAGGCACATACTAATGAGGAGAAACTTTTTTTCAACTGAATAGTCATTAAGGGTGCCAATTCAATCCATTTATCCAATAACCATCCAATCCATCCATACATAAATCCAAGCAATCCATCCAATTATAAAATATAAATTAATGGATGGGTTGGATTGGATCATCATTTGTTCTTGGATGGATAATAAACCATCCACAATGTTTGTTATTCACTAGGTTATGTAGTCTAAAGTCTATTAGTTGAGCATAGGTCTTCAAAAAATGGAATGGGGCCCAGACTCTAGTGTTGAACGTGTATTAATATGAAATTTTATTTTATAAAAGCATTTTAAAATAAATAAAATATATATTTTTAAATGGATAGACTGGATATCCATCCATAAAAAATGGTTAATGGATGAGTTTGATGGGTGGTTTTTATTAAATAGTTTATGGATGGATTCTATTTTTTTCAACACATTTTTAATAGATTAAAATCAATAAACGGTTTATTTTTTATCCATCCATTATGATTTGGTTCAAAATTTATCCAATCAGCAGTTCGAAAATGATTTGCACAGACTACACAAGTTTACAACTTACTTTTTGTGCTGCTTCAGCTGTAGCAAACTCAACATGTCCAAAGCCTCTAAACCTCCCTTCATGATCCGTATGTAGACGAACATCAACAATTTCTCCACACTCTTTGAAGAGATCCTCCCTGAACAATTTTGAAATTTGAAATATAGTACAAATAATAATCGACAAGCACCTTCATGAAAAATAATGCATACATATCAGCCCGTTCCACACTGTATGACAAGTTTCCAGTATATATTGTCTTTGATGCATCATCTTCTTTTGGAGTAGCTAGCGTTTTAGGCTGCGAAATTCCAGGAAACAACATGTTATATGACTGATTTGGTATTGTTCAATTACAGACCAAGCATCTTCACATCCCTAACATCGATCACCCAAGTCCATTATGTATTCCAATAAGTCATAACAAATGAACATTTAGCATATTTAGGCAAATGCAATATGAAATGATCACACTTTCCTGAGTAGTTATAGCGGCTGCAATGAAAAGAAAGGCACTAAGATATTAAAATCTTCCAAAACAAACAATTGTATGCAACATGTCCAAGATTCTCACTACTCACATTTGCAATCATATGTAGCTTTTCAATAACATCAGAGCCATCCTCATCCTCATCTGAATTATAACTAGAAAGATCATTTTCAAACAATTTTAAATCACGTCCCTGAGCATTTGACACAGCATCCATCTTCACAACAAAAAAAAGATTATAAAAAAATAATATGATATAAACAAACAACAAAATGCTATTACAAATATAGGAGGTTAAAGTTGGTTTAGTGAACAATATATACCAAAACTTCCATCTTTTTCTCTTGTGCTTCTTCATCACTTTTTTCAGAATTGTCACAATCAATATACACATTCCTCTGAAATATTCACAAAAAATAAACATCGTCAAACACAACATAGTCAGGTTGTACTCTTGTACTACACTTTGTCATTATAGTTTATATACCGCAAAATAAGGCATCAAAATAAACCATTCGTCATCCTATAAGTAATCCCAACCTATGACCTAGTCATGGATAAGTCAGATTTGTTCAGTCTTTATTTAAATAAATGGAGCCCAGACTTGAGTACTTTACAAACTAAATTAAATCTATTTCTTCTAACTTAATTACAAATGAACAAAGTAACTCATTCATCTTTGAAGTATTAACCAATGCTCCTTTTTAGGTTGCAGTACAAGAATCAACTATTGATATAGAAGTCAATAACTCAAAGCACTACTCTTGGGAGATTTGACTAGATTAAAATTTCTTCCTTCTAGCATCAGGTCGATCAGGCCCCTAGGATTTTGGTGCCCAGAACAATAACAAGCAAACATAACAAAGCATTCCCACCATCAAATAAAAAACAACTGCCAACGATTTGAAAGAACCGAAATTGTTAGCACAAGCAAGATTTAATATGTTTGCTAAAAAAATGGCAGAACAATAAGAAAAAAAACAAAAGAAAGAAAAACGCACCATACACATATTGGCACGAAATTGAAGATCTATTATGCATAAATGAAAATCTTAATACTCAAGTCAAATAAGTACCTTATCCGGCTCAGAATCTGAAAAGAAATCATCAGAAATAACTTCTTCAATGTTCTTTTGCTCCTCAGCGACTTCTTCTCTCTTCTGCTTCTTTGCACTCACTTGCTTTTCATCTACACCCTCAACTTCCCTCTTTCCTGTATATATTTCAACTTCTAAATAGTGAAAAGACCAACTAAACAGCGTGCGAAAAACTCATAAACCAAAAATAAAGTGTACGAAAGAGTAACAAAGAAAATAAAAGAAAAGCGAACGCCAAACACTGAAACAAAACAATACCGTTTCGGGGAAGTGGCGTTGCAGTAGCATCAGCCTACAAGACAACAAAAAACAAGCGAGGTTTAGAAATAGCGTGTTTCAATGACAAACGAACTCAGCTAAAAAAGAAAACGAAAACGAAAATCGGGATCGAAACACAGACTTTAGGATCTGATTTATCGTCCATTTTGGTTTTTGAGTAAAGAGTGGCAAGTGACGAGAACACAGGATTAGAGCCACTTTTTTTGGTTGGGTTTGGTTATAAGGGTTTCGGCCTCGCGAACAAGACAAACAACGCCCGCCAATGCGACACACTGCATTTCTTTCTCTGATTGGTTGAGCTGGAAAATACTGCCACATTAAATTATTTTAATATTATAATTGGTTTAATTTAGAAGTTTTCTTGTAGATCGGAATAAATTTAACTAGATTTAAGTGAATTTTATTTTATTTTAACTTAATTTGAATTGGTAATTTTATGCTTGTTTATTTATTTAAATAAAGCGAAATCATTAAAAAAGATAAATGTAAAAATTCATTTAGACAATTATTCAAATCTCATGTTATTAATTTAAAAAATATATTTTAAATTGTCAGTGATTTCAAAAATAATTTAACAACAATTTTAAGACCCATTTCGTGAACATTAATGGATACATTAATGGATAGGAGATGTAATTTCATTTATCTCTTGATCTTGTTTGTTGATTTTTTTATCTCTAAAAAAAGAAGTATTTGTTTTATATAAATTTTTTTTACATATTGAGACAATTTTATCTATTTTAAGATTTTTTATTTTTTCTTTTTGTAAATTAGCCTATTATATACTAGAAAAATCTTACAATTTAACAAACTAAAAATAGTTAGTATTTATTTAATTTATTTAATTAGCAAAAATTTTTTATATTCAAACTAATATTGATAAAATTATTTTAACAAATTTCAATTTTAAAATTTATTTTATTAGTCTTATAAATTAGTATGGCATAAAAGCATATTGGCAAAGATATCTTTTGTAACGACCTTTTTTTTTAAGACAAAAATATTATATTTTTTTACCCTAACTAAATTGATTCTTATTCTTAGTGAATCATTTTCACACAGTATGTCACATGTATATTCTAATCAAGTAAACACACTTTCAATTACAAGCAACTTGTCAGACTTTCCTCATTGGTAGTCCTAGAGACTGACTTAACATTCGGACAAAGCATAAAGTGTCACATACCACTTTACACCTTGTACTCTAAGGATTTAATGCATCCCATACCACATTAGTTCACGAGGTAAATGTTAAATCCTTAACTAGTATCATACCAATTTAATAAAATCCAACATCAAAAAATTACTCACCCACTGACTCTAATAACCCTAGTTAACATACAGAATTTCATACGTGCATAGGAATTTCCTTGTGCGACTATGATCCAACTGACACAACTGTGTTTCTGGATGTAGTAATTTTGATAACAAAATCTTCTTATAATCCTTGAGTACACCTGTACCCCTGAACACAACATCGAAGATTTCCAAAACAAGAATAAAAGAGAGGGGTGAGACTTTTCAAATACTCATAATGCAGTTATGACTTGAAAGGAAGGAAACAAATAAATAGGAGAAAGTATAAATATATAAAACATTGATTTTCAAAAATCAACTTAACCAATATAATATAAATAATTTCATTTATTCACAAGCAAACACCTCATACATTTCCAATTCAATGTCAAACCATGATGCATGGGACTTATGTATATGCTGACTTTTGGTTTGGCTTAAAATTATTTGTTATGCTCATGTGATTCTTGGATTCATTCCTATCACAAAAGTTGTTGGGAGTTCCACTAACCAACCAACATTTCGTATGTTTGGTGGAAACTCGAACCTCCACCGACTGATCTAGCTCGACCAACATAATAAGCCTCAGGAGAATGTCAAGATAAAAGAGCATCGCATAGAGACTCCCAGCCAAAGTTCCGGGACCTATGACACTCATAGGGCTATTGGTAAGTCACCCAACTCCAGACGTCGAGGTCTTCCTTATCTTTCACCAACAATAGTTATAAAATAACCTCGTGACTTCCTTCATAGGGGAGAGGTATCACACTCATTGCCATCTGAATAGTTCATTTCTCTTTGTAGTTCAACCTCCATATCACGCACACTGGCACCAATTCAAATCAAGATTAACATCTTATCTCGTTTCACATCACGCACTCAAGCGTTGGTTTAAATCCAGAATCAACATTCCATATTCAACTATTCAGACAATTTCCACAAGATTGACATATACTTATATTAATGCTTTCAAGCACATCCACTAAGGGTCCCTAGCTCACTAGTCTTGTCTCTTTCTTTGAATTCCTAATTTTATCCACCTAGTTAGTTTACTACTCATGATTGAAAAGATAAACTTTCGCAAACATTTACTTTCCTTAATTCAATCATTAAGGTTCTATTACGAATTCTAGGTCTAAGACAAGCAAGTGACTAGACTCAATAGTGTGGTTATACTTACATGTCAATTATCTCTAAGTGTTCTCATTAACACATACACACCCCTTCAGGGTCTCATATCACAATGGGGGCATCAATCCACCTACCTATGAATTTCTACATGCTTTGAACCAGCTATGGGTCATCAATTCACATGTGCCAAACCAGACATTAAAATCATGCAATCACCACATTCATATTCAAATGTCACAATGTGTGCAAGACTTATGCATATATAAATAATAGCATATTCAAAACCACAATGCCTCAATCATCACCAATAAAGGTGGATTTTATTCTCGTAGGCGTCCTATATTAAGTTTGTCTAAGTTTCCTTATGGCAGTTTATTCAATCTTTTCATCAGACATTTTGCTATATACAAGGACTTTAGATTTTATTATTATCATTATTTTCTAAATCCATGGGTATAGTTAACGTGACTAGCATTTTATCAAACATAACCTAATCATTTTGTTCCTATCCTATACCACATTCAATTAAATTTTCTTAAGGGTCATATGCCTAAATTGAGGCTTCATTTTCTCTTTCCTTTTTCATTTATTATTGGAACATCTGTTAAACTTATCGAATTTCTTGCTTATTATCGATTTGCTTATTTAAACTAAAATTGTAAATTAGCATAATTAAGCTTAGCATGACTTAAAGTTATGAGACTTGGCGGTTCCTTAGGTTGCCTAAGCAACAATCTGATTAAAGGGTCATATCCTTTTCTAAATTATCAAGAATCAAGTGACTAGGTGTTCCTGTCTAGCATAGTTTGGTTGATTTTACTTGATGATAGAATATACATGTCAATTATAGCTTAGTTTACTTAACTAGTTTTGGTGTACTTAGTGATATGTTGTAGGGGACAATTTTCATTCTCCTTGGTATTCATCAAGTTTAGGAGTTTAAAACTTACCATGAAATTTTGCTCAACTTAGCATTCAACCACACAATTTCACACATATATGTGCACCATAGTAACACAAGCAAACATATCAATTTCAATATCAAATATTGTCTATAAACTCAAGAGAGTGAGGAATTCTCAAGAGCTCTCAACCACACACAAGATTAATAATTTCATCAAGTGTATTTGTATCCATTCCCTCAATTCCTAACTCAAGTCATATGAAAGTTTCCCCCTCACCTTAGAGAATAACTCAGCGTGGTGAGAAAAGATCCTCCACTCCCAGCCTTGTTCAGGTTGTACTCGTGTTTTTCTCAACATGGTCGACAATCGTCCTTTTTGAGCAGTTCTTGCGATTGAGCCCGTAATTTAGGCGTTTAGAATTCAAATGAAGCGTGCAAGTTACTGACGCGTTTCTCATTCAAGGAAACAAACACAAAGCTCATTAGAAGAGGTTTTAAACTAAGTCAAATAATTTTTTGTTAGCTAAAAACAATATTGGTACAACAAGGTACTTAGTTTTGAGCAACTAAAATTTCAAGTTTCGGTACACTTACCAAATGGACGGTAATTGAGTGCTATGGTGTCCAAATTGAGATCAAGATAGCTCTTTGGAAAGGTAAAATTGTCACGATTTAGAGAATAAATTGCACTTATCCTCGTTCTTTGGGGAAGCAAATAGAATCCAATTCAAACTTGGGATAGCTTGTGAAAAAACTTATATAACCTAGAATATAGGAACATGGTTAGAACATATTTTCTATATGCATATTTTTCTAGAAATTCAGAGAGAGTTGCTACTGCATGCAATTTCAAAAAAATATTTTTTTTGTAGAATTCCGCATTTGGTAGCTTGAGAGTTTTGGACTAAAAATAGGGGAAATGACCTCCAAATTGAGTTCCGCAAAATGGGTTTGAAAACTAACATCCTAAGGATTATGGAGATGATCTTAAAATAATTTTCCATGTATGCAGGAGGTACTGAATAACAATTTTACAGAGATGTATTTCTGTTGTCATGAATTGTTTTAGCAGATTTGAGATACTTGGTTCATGTTTGTTGTTGAAATATCAAATGGACTTCAAATTGAGCACAAGATGGCTTGATGAAAAGTTTATGTCGTAAGGAACACAAGCATGTGCATGCATGTCAATAAAATCACATGCAAGTTGTTCAAAAAGAAGACTTTTGCTGCTGTTAGCAGAGAAAACGCAATTCTGAGACAGCTTCATTAAAAATTGCATATCTCATTAATTTATGATCAAAATCAAGTCCAACCGATTTTGTTTAAAAGCTAAGACACTGAGGTTTATAAAAATGTGCTCATTCAAATATTTGGAAATATAGATTGGTCGCAGCACTCACATTAATACAGAGTGACTACAAAATTTTAAAATGAGACCTCCACTTGTGCTAACATTTCTACTTAGCAAATGAGATGAAAATGAGCTTAAGATAGCTTGTTGGAAAGATCTAATTACAAGAATTTCATAAAATTTTGTGAATATTCATAAAGTTGGATGAAGAGGGATTTAAAAACGTATTCTTTCACTGTCTTCATAAATTTTTCAAAATCAGATATAGCATGGTAAAAATAGTTTTCTCCTTGATCTTTGCTCCAAATCTTACTCCAAAAGTGGTTATGGAAAGCTAATGAAGTGTACTATGTGAAGAAATAAGGTCAAGTTAAAAAAAAGAGGTTTAGCAAGTAAAATAAGTAGAACAATTTGCATGCAAAGTGAAAAACGCAAACTTCCTCTATGAAGCTTTGAACTTTGCATACGTCTCACCATTTTGTACATAACTTGATCAATTAGAGTCCGATTGATGAGTCGTAAAGTGCATTAGAAAGCTAAGACAACAAGGAACAAGATGGGATAGTTACACATCAGTTTCTATATATGAATTTCCCCAGAAATT